ACCATTCTATGATTCTATGGTTCTATGAATTATTTCAGTGGCTGGGGAGGTGTGATTTACCAACAGAAGCTTAGCTTCAAGTCCTGCATTGATTTGATCTCAGTTTAGATTCTCCTGATTGTTTGGTAGCTTGTAACCAATTCACAAGTAAGAAACGTTTTCCAAGGCAGGTACCTGGGACCAGCATTAGCAGGGATATCAGAAAGCAGCAAATTAAGTCTATTCTGTAGAGCTATATCAACAGCAGTTAGGAACTAAAATTTACTAGCAATATAATTTGAATTGGACTGGGAACTGTGTATTTTAAAATCATGAGTAAGATGTCAGTTGGTCCATGAGCTTCATAGAGACAGGATATTACATCTTTTAATTTCCCATACTTTTTTTGAGATTCTAGGCTCCCTTAAAACTCAGAATCCGATTCTACAATCAAGTCAGCCAAAATTACAAAATCAAACAGTAGAAATGTTGGAGTTGAATTTTCTGCCTATAGTGCATTTTAGTCTGCAAAAAGAGTGAAATAGGAATGCCTTTTTAGAGGTTTAAGTTGATGTGGAGTCAAGTTCATTTGTTTTGAGTTAAGGGCTTTTATTATACATCATTAATTGTAAAGAGGCTTTTTGTTTGGAATTCAAGTTTTCCATAGATTTGAAATTAATTGATTTTCTTAGATAAGCTGTGGCTTAACAATTCAACTGAAGGTATCTTTGTTTCTGTTCTTGAACATAAACTTCACTTGTACTGAAATTTGTGGGTTTTTTTTTTTGTTCCCCAGGTAATGCAAGCCCCCGCTACATAAGATGCACATCTTACAATATTCCCTGCACCTCAGATATGGCCAAACAATCCCAAGTTCCCCTAGCTGCTGTCATAAAACCGCTGGCTACTCTACCCCCAGAAGAGGTGAGAACCATAGGCAGAGTTACACATGCACTGTATGCACTCTGAACTCAGCAGGAGAATGCTATTAGATGTCAATGTTTAACAGATAGGTTGAGAAGAAATGTTTAGGTGATAAAGACTAGGTAAACATTGATTCTCCCACAAGTGTGTGGTAGAGATCTGCAAGACAGAAGAATGTTGTGTTCAGAACACTTAATATTTTGATCGCTGTGATAGCTTGAGCTTTTTTGCAGGAACTGTAAAGCACTACAACCAAATGACCAAAATATTAGGATGGTCACAAATGCGTACGCTTCCAGTTGATCTGAATTTCTTTCTTGGCCTGAAGTACGGAAATGGTTCTTAATCACTGATGTTAGTCTTTTCTAGGATGACTGAATTTTATAAAATATTCTAAATACTCTGACTACTGTTTAGTGTTAGCCTGCTTGGAGCAGTGACATAAAGACAAATATGCTTGTTAAATTTGAATACATATGTTTGCAGTATTCTGTGCCCTGTTAAACTTAACTTTAGCGTCTGCTAAGAAAGGAATATTCTTTGGCCTTCTAAGGATGGGTTTTTCCTGTTGCATTTCATTAATAATCCTAAACTATATTTTGGATTTTGAACATTGGTTTGTGATAAAACTGAGTTGTGAAGTTAATTCCTGTATTGTTGTATTGTGGCTTGAGTTTAAAAGGAGCACAATAGGAGAATGCAGTCTTATTTGAGAAACCTGGAGGCTTGTGTAGCTGCACATTTTTGGAGAAGCTTTACAAACAACTAGTTGTTAGGTCTCCTAGTGTGTCTGTGCTTTGAACAAACACTTGTGATATGCAGAAAAAACATAGCTAGGATTGGAAAATTGCCCTGAAGACTGGTCAGCTTCTAGCATTGGAAAGTTCTTTATGGCAAGGGCAAGCTCCCTGTTGAGGGGCCCTTCCAGTAGACGAAGGCTCAGCTGTTTGGAGCAATAAGACTGTAAATAAAGCTAAAGCTTAACATAACAGTAATTAGAGGATAAATGTCTCATGAAAATAGAGCATTCAGATAAATCTAGACTATATAAAAATTCAGCATCTGGTTGCTAGATACAGGACCTTTGCCCTATTCTAATGCACAGTTCAGAAAGCAAAGCTTGAGGCTTTAGAAATAAGTAGCTCTGTGCCTTCTGGAAGTAAGTGATTAGGGACAAGTTATGCGTAGCACTGCATGTTTACAGCACCCTTGTAGTTTGCATGGGTGTTATTGGGGGAGAGGCTGAGGAAAAAAGCTTATTGTGTGAAAGTACAATACCAACATGGCCGGGCGGTTAGAAAACTTGAAATTTTGTTTCCTCTGGGGAGGTCAGCCTGGGTGATAGGAGCTGAGAAATGTTGGCCACAAAACCATTGTATTGTCAGTAAATGATTAGTGGGGTTGAATGAGAGATGTGACACATCTGTGGCATGAAGAGGAAGACAGTAACTGAAGCATTTGCTCAGCTCCTATATGTTGTCTCCTAAATATGATCAGAGGTTTAGGGTGACTGAGAGAATTAAAACTGGACACTTTTAGTGTCAGAAAATTTAAAAGTAAGTGGTTAGACTTTCTTTTGAGCTAGATTCTTAGTTATGAAAGGTGCTTTGAACTATGAATGCAGCTTGTAGCTTGCACAAGTTGTGTCTTAATCATTTTAAAGTGCTCGTTCTGAGGTTGAGAAGCTGCTGAAGTTGCCAAGCTTCTTATTCTGGTTTGGCTGCAAAAATAATATATTATCAGTAATAGTTCAAAAATGGTATCACTACATAACAGTTTTGAGGACTCACTATACAGTAGGGTAAAGATAAGCAGAACTTACGGATATACTGTATTTCCTGCTGGACTTCAAAACTAAGTCTTATCAGCTGAAATTTTTAAGATAGTCTGGTTGCTCTGTGTTCTTGAATATATGGAATGCAATGATTGGCTTCTGTTTTGTCAAAAAGCTTGCTTTTTACAAGGGAAAAACATAAAAGAGTTGCTTTTAAAGCACCCAACCTGTGGTGAAATGTAAATTGTATGCTCAGTCCCATGAGCTTATCACAGCCATTCTTTGCATGGCTTCAGTCTTTTGTGTTCACTTGGGGTACATCTGTGCTGTGCAGTATGGTACTCCTGCTAGAGCTCATGTTGCTCAAGCAGGCTACTATATAAGGTAGTGCAGCACCATGCAGAAGTACTTATTTGTGTCTAAGTGGGATAGCCCATTAGTGACTGCAGCCCATAAAGGACTGCTGTGCTAGAGCTCAAGTTGAAAAGCATTTATGAAATACTTGTTCAGGCTTCCTGCACCACCTGCACTCTCCCAAAGCTGCCAAAATATTAAATCCTATGCAATGTATAGGGAGATAGTTTTAAGCTCTGCAGTATGTGTGGCCACTTCCTTCTCATCATCGTGTGACCTTTCTTTTTTTTCCCTGCTTCTACAGACCCTTCCTTACTTGGTGGACCATGGAGAATCTGGTCCTGTCCGATGTAATAGGTGCAAGGCTTACATGTGCCCTTTTATGCAATTCATTGAGGGTGGAAGGAGGTTCCAGTGTTGTTTCTGCAGCTGTGTCACTGAGGGTAAGGTTTCTTCTGGAAATCAGTCTCTAGGCTCTGTTGGACTGTCTTTGGACAAGATGCAAGCAAATAAATCTTTATCATGTTATGATAATTTATAATGTGCTTTAATGTGTGTTTGGTCTTGTAAAAAAAAAATCATTATAAAACATGTCTGGTGCTCACTTCTGAAATTAGGTTCAAATTAAGTAGGTGGCTATGCATTATTGCGTATTATTGTACCAAATTTTTAACATGAGGTACTTGTAGCATAATGTACAGTGGTTTGAAAATTTATTTATGCTTTTTTCCTAATGTGTTTCAAACTTAGATTTTTCTATGCCAGACTGAGATGTACATCTAGTCTGTAGCATGAGTTAAGATTTTTTTTTTTTGCTCACAAAGCCTGTTTAAACACTGCTTAGAGATGAGATTGCAGATAAATCTTTTTTAGGAATGTTCAATATATGCCAGTTAATCTTAGTAGGTCTTCTGAATTAATATAAAACATGCTTCCTTTTAAACAGAAGTCACTGTGTGCAGCCCATAGCATGAAATCCTTAGATTTGTTTTGAAGGCACAGTGGAATGTAAGGTACAATTAACCTTATGGTCATGTTTTGAGTGTTTCACTTGGTAGCACTGATGGCTTTTAGTGGACTGTTCTGTCCATGTACAACTGTTTGTACAAACCAAAATGGGAAGCTGATGAGGGTTAGAAATGGCCAACTTTAAAAAATGTTTGTCTGTTGATTTTCAGCCTGCACGCATTCCCTGTCCCTTGCTCACTCAGCAGCTGTACAAATGGCTGTACCTGTAACAAGCGAGCAGGGGCAGAAAAGAGAGGGATGCTGAGAGACTTCTGATGAAAGCAATGCTGTGAAAATACAATGTAGTTGTACCTAGTACTTGAGAACAATTTCTGTTTTCTCTGAAAAAAAAAAAAAAACCAAGTAATTAGCTTGTACTGGATGTGCACTTGGAGAGGAGAAGTGTGATAGGTACTTATATATATATATATGTAATGATGTACCTTTGTTTTCTTTTGAACTGTTGAAATTTCATATGTTTGGAATAATTTAAAGGTGGTGAATACTATCAGTAGAGATAATCTCATTTTATTCTCCCCTGGAGCTACATGGGCAGCTATAGCTGGAATAGATTTAGCAATTCTGCAGGAGGGACTCTGTCCTGGTAGTTCTTGGGGCACAAGGGAAATGCTTTCCTCGTTTCTGCATCTGACTTTTATAGGCAAGAACTTAGCTTAACTCCTATTTTATGTTCTAATGCTTGGTACCAGCACAAATGTACTGGACACTGGGCATATGGTTACACTTGTGGTTCGTCCTTCTTAATGCTTTGCAGTCCACTGTACAAAGTACCCTTGTCTATTCTGACAAAAAGATTATGGGCAGCCTCTGCACCTGAGGGTGCCTGGGAGGCTTTACCCTTCTGCATCATGGGAAGGGAAGGAAAAAGCTAACTCCTGTAGCAAAATAAGGAGCTCAATCTTTTGTTAAGCCTGAATTGAGTCAGTAATATCGTACCCTGTAATTTGCCTCAAAATCTATTGTAAGTCATTTGTTACTACTTATACGAGGTTGTTATATTTTTCCTTTGGACTGAATCCTTCAGAAGAATCCTAAGAGTGTGTTGTAAGTGACATTTCTGATTTGAAATGTAAAATGAGAATATAAAGGAGATTCAGGAAAAGTACAATAATGACTATACAGCATGCCACCGGGTGCATAAGACAAACTGGAAGCAGTTTGTCTGTATTTCTTGCCTTTTAATGATGCTCTTAAATTGCATTAATATGTTTAGTAATACTTTCATGCCAGCACAGAATGCTAGCTAGCTTTCCTGAAGTTTTATTTGAAACAGCTGTTCTCATGTTAGCTCTCTAGTGACAGTGGTTATCATGGGCGTGTTGCTGAACTTAATGTGTTTTCCTTCCCAAGTGCCACCTCACTACTTCCAGCATTTGGATCATACTGGAAAGCGAGTAGACTTTTATGATCGACCTGAGTTATCCCTGGGGTCTTACGAGTTTCTAGCAACAGTTGACTATTGCAAGGTACAATAGTATGCATTTATTACTGTATTTTGTTTTGCTTTTAAATAAAAAGTCTATTTTCCTAAAAGTAAGAATGACATGAATTGTCTGGGGCTACTTTTTAGCTGTCAGAGATAATTAACAGTATTAATCCAACCCATTTCATTGTGTAAGATAATGTGTTTCTCTGCTTACTTCCTAAAGTAGAGAAAGTCTTGATCACACATGACATAATATGATTTTGTTATAGCTGCTTCTGTCATTCTCTTCTGGAGCTATATAAGCAGCTCTAGCTGCTGTCACCATAGCAATTCTGCAGGAGGGACTGTCTTGCGGTAGTCCTTGGGGCAGAAGGAAAACATAGGAGAGATTAAAGAAAAGTACAGTAGTAACTATGCAGTGTGCCACCTGTTGCCTAAGACAGACTTTACCTATTGAACTTAAATTTCAATTAGTGGTTAAAAAAAAAAAGAATAGTGTGGAAATATATATTGTCAGAGCTGATTCACTTTTAAATTAAAGATTTAAATACCAATTAACTTATCAGGAATAAGAAAAATAGGTGCAGGGTGTTTACTAAAGCAACTTGTATCTCCGCTGAAATAAATGCTGGGAAAATAAATGCCTAAATGTTGCAACCTTATACTGGTTACCTTCTGATGCCTCAGCTTTACTTTGAGTTAAGGAAAATAACCATGATCTTCTGATAGCATAAGCAGCATTTTTAATTCAAACGAGATGGGATCTTTGCAGCTTTCTTGAAAGTTATTCTGTTTTGCTCTTCTGTGTATTCCTTCCAGTATGACCTATAGATTTCAGAAAACTGTTGTCTGAAACAAGTTTTTCTTTCCCAAAGAAACCTGATATTTAAGTAGAAGGGGAAAGTTTGCAGTTCTCAGGAAAATATTTTGCTTTATGTTGCTGAAATCACCTGCAACAAGTCTGGTCAGATTCCACAGTCTTGAGAACTGGCAGGAAACTTCCATGTCTACTTTCCCTATCTGGCCTAGTCATGTAAATGGATGATTTAGTTGTGACTAGGCTGCTATCCACTGAGCAATGGCAAAATTAGTGTACCTCATATAATACCGGTCCATTTCAAGCACAGTGTGCTTATGTGTCTGTTCATCGGGCTGGAATAGGAGAATGATCTGAAGAAACAAGTACTGCTCGTGAGCAGAAGAGTACAGGAAAGCTACTGCAGTTTCGACCAGCATTCATTTGTCCATGTTACAGAGCGGGCTGCGTTACATGATCATCATATGACTTCTCCCTCTTCCACAGAATAACAAGTTTCCCAGTCCACCTGCTTTCATTTTCATGATTGATGTGTCTTACAATGCTGTGAAGAGTGGCTTAGTGAGGCTAATATGTGAAGAATTAAAGTCACTCCTAGATTACCTGCCCAGGTAGGTGTATCGTGTACTCCTGTAGCCAGGCAAAATGGGGGGAAACTGTCACTTCTTCCCCTTTAAAAAAGGCTATAAATTTAAAAAAAATATTTCATAATGCTATTAAGCTTTTCTTCAGTAAAAGGCCAAGTGGAATATCTTTCTGGGTACCTTTCTAGGTGAAAATAAATTTTCTTTCCTTTAATTTTTCCCTTATCCCTTTTTGTGTTGGGTTCTGTGTAATGGTTTCACTGTCTACTTAGATGTGAAGACAAGTATGTCTCTTACAGGGAAGGCAACATGGAAGAATCAGCCATTCGAGTAGGCTTTGTCACCTACAACAAAGTCTTACACTTCTATAATGTGAAGAGCTCACTGGCACAGCCACAAATGATGGTTGTCTCAGATGTGGCAGATATGTTTGTGCCACTCCTTGATGGTTTTCTGGTGAATGTGAATGAGTCCAGGACAGTTATTGCCAGGTAATAGAAATTGATTTACAATCTGTGTAGTAAACTTCTTGTTTGGTAGATTCAAGTGTTGGTTTAAAAGTGTAACATTCACTGATTATTTGTCATGTTATTCACCTTTAAGTAACTCCATGTATTTTAACTTCCTATACTCTTTGAGATGAAGCTGGCAAAGCAGGAAGGCAAAATTCATGGAGTAAGGGTGTATTTGGCTTGTAGTACATCGTGGCAGAATATATATATAAGAGGAGTTAGTTTTGTTTTAAGAAAGTTGTAAGAATACTGAATCGCTGTCTTTAAGGCAACTACCTAAATAAACTGAGACAACAGTGGTGTCTAATTTTGGTTCTTTGGAGAAAACTGAATGAATGGGATAGGGAAGATAAAATCTAGAATGAAAGAAATATAAATTACCAGATTTTTTGGCAAACTAACATGATACTTGAACTGTAATTAAACTATGGTGTGTGACTAACTACGTTTTAGGAACTAGACCTGGCACTGCACGTTTTTAAAGAAAATTTCTAGCCTGTTTTGTCGTACATTGACAAGCATAAGTACAAAACTGTGGATTAAACGTATTAATCTTTAAATAGTGCACAGAAAGCTTGGCAAACAGAGGCCAAGTATTAGTATTCCCTAAGAGTTTACTTACTGATATATATTGGAATATATTAAAAGAGAAGAAATACAGAAGAGCTTTTGGAGAAGGCATCAGTTGACGTTATAAAGCAAGCACTGAGGATATGGATGAGAGATGACAATGAAGAATGAGAAAGCATCATTTTTTTCAGAGATAAATGAGATGCCAAATACTGTAAAAATTATGCAAATTTACAGACATGTTAGGGACTTCTGTTTAAATCATCTCAGTCTCATAAGTCATTAACTGCAACCGTGTGGCTTTTCCAATTAAATGGAATCTTTAAATTCTCCTTTTTTCTTGTTCTTTCCTAGTTTGCTGGATCAGATTCCAGAAATGTTTGCAGACACAAGAGAAACAGAAACTGTTTTTGCACCTGTGATTCAAGCAGGGCTGGAGGCTCTGAAGGTTAGTAAATGCATTGTCATGGCAAATTGTTTTCAGTCTGAGGAGTCTGAATTTCATATTCTGCTAACACACATTAAAAAGACAATTCTAAAGCTTTTCATAAGTCTCCTTGTGGTAGATGTGCTACATGTAGGGAGTACTTGACTCGTTCTTCAAGTGCGTGTACTTCTTTTTCTATGTAGCTATCTATGTTTTCTACCCTTTGTTTTCTGGCTGGGTTTTTTTTTTTTTTTTGAAATTTTCTCAAAGTACAGGACATGTGGCTTAACCTTAGTTATGTGGCTGGGTTTTGCTTTGAACAGTTTACAGAACCTACAAAAAAAAGACTCTTCAACATTAAAACCAGATGCTGAAGTCTGTCATGTCTCATTGAGGAGTTCTATAGCATGGTGTCTTTCTAATCCTGTTCTTGAAGCTCTGGTATAATCTTGAATAAGATGGGAGAATGCAATTTGTTGAAGTTGCCCACACTGATGTGCTAATTGAGTAAACCTTTTCTAAAGTTCTTCCATTCTATTACTTCATCCAGATAATTACATGCATGATCTAACTCCCACTTGTATATACTGATCAAATTGATTGTATGATTCCATCCAAAACTGTTCATGTATCTCTATTTGCCTGTCATGTAAATCCGTAGAAGTCTCGCTTACACTCAGTTTTCATGACAATTGTTCGATCAAGAAATAATATAAATAGAAAATAGAAATTACAGAAATAATATAAATCAATAAATAATATAAATTACTAATGGATTGTTTACATACTGCATGTGTTGGCAAAAATAACCTACTGAACATTGGCTAGTGTTGACATAAATTATTGTTTTAAAATTAATGATCTGTTGAAGCTCAGATTACAAAATCCTTCATCATTTTGTCAGTAGCTGCAAATCAGAGAAGAAAGCAATCTTAACACATTTGTGCAAAACTTTTTGTAGCTTTGTCGTACTTACTGCTCTGTCTCTTCCTTGGAGCCATTCCTTTTCTCCCTGCCATGGAACAAGCACAGGTCCATTAGAACTGAAACTTACTTTTCTATAACTGACCAGTAAGCTGTGCTCGTTGTGTTGGATACCACTGAAGTAACCAAGTGATCACGGAGCCTGTGTGTCTGATAGAGTGCCTTCCTGACGTAAAGAGTTTAAATAATGAGGATGCTTGAATGCTTGTTCTTGAATCACAGTTTCCCTTGCAATTTTTATAAATGTTTCTAATCTGCACTATTGCATTAATTTTCCTGCAGGCAGCTGAGTGTGCTGGCAAGCTCTTCATTTTCCACACCTCTCTGCCCATTGCAGAGGCCCCAGGGAAGTTAAAGAACAGGGATGATAGGAAACTGATCAACACGGATAAGGAGAAGGTGGTAATGACTTGCATGATACTTACATTACAGCTCTATATTATACTCTTTATGACATAAAATAACTCTGAAGCAACATTAAAAAAAATTACAAGGGTAGCACATAGTGTAACTATCCCAGCTAATAATCTTTTAACATTGCACTTTTATCTTCTGTTCTCAAGCAGAGTGTGTAGACCTGAAATCACAAGGACAACTCTGGCATGAGAACAAGGGGAGATAGATGTAGGTTCTTATATAGGATGAAATACCAAAGCTGGGTTAAAGTAAATGTACTGAATTTACAATTAGAACAAGATGTGTAGTAATTCTCATAATACTCAACAGTTCTTCAAAGGCAGGGTCAGGAAGAATTTGTATGATCCTAACTTCCCTGAAGTGAAACTTAAGGTATAAAAGTGTATTGACTGGGATTATGAACTAGATCTCTTTCCTTTTCTTACCACAAACTTTGATCTCATCTCTGACTTCTTTTCTTAGACTTTGTTTCAACCACAGACAAGCTTTTACAACAACTTGGCCAAGGACTGTGTGGCCCAGGGCTGCTGTGTGGATCTGTTCCTATTTCCAAACCAGTATCTGGATGTGGCAACACTAGGTGTAGTAACTTACCAGACAGGAGGCTCCATTTATAAGTATGCATATTTCCAGGTAGGAGTGACATTGACTCAGACTGGTATTTGATCTCTTAACTAAACAATAATTCTTATTTAATTCTTTTTCATAGTGTGAACCATAGTGAACAAGTACTTCTTTGGAAATAAATTATCAGTTAAATGTCAAGATTTTCACCAAAATTATTTTGTGAGCTTTATGTCTTTACCCAAAATATCACTATTAAAACAACAAGAAAAGCTATGCTGTAACCTTTTAGCATGATATTTTATTAGCAGGGCACTGAGCCCTATATGATGTCTGATTTTTAGTGTAAGACTACAGGAAATAGTGTCTGTTTTTAAATTACTTTATGGTTTATGGAGTAGCTCTGATTTATGGGAGTATGAAACTTGAATTATTGCTTGTGTTCTAGCTGGAGACAGACCAGGATAGATTCCTGAATGACTTGAGAAGAGATGTCCAGAAAGAAGTGGGATTTGATGCTGTAATGAGAGTGCGCACAAGCACAGGTGGGTGTTAACATGAATGAGTCTTAATAAATTGACCACTTCAAGCATGTCATATGGGAAGTAACAGATTTTTTTCCCTAATTTAAAATATCTTGACACTAGGCTATGCAAAAAGCTCTGCTAAAGCTTTGAAATTCCAAGACTTTTGTCGAGACTGAGCAAAGATCCCAGACAGGATGACAGGATTTTCAGGGTTCCAAAGGCTGTCTGTCTCATTACTCTGTTGAAAATTGTAGTTCATGTTGGGGTTTTTTTTTTCTTTTCTAGGTATTCGAGCAACTGACTTTTTTGGAGCTTTTTATATGAGCAACACAACTGATGTAGAGATGGCAGGTTTGGACTGTGATAAAACCATCACAGTGGAATTCAAGCATGATGACAAATTGAGTGAAGACAGTGGTGCACTCCTTCAGGTGAGGGGATAGGCTTTCTAGGAGAAAGAAGTGAGTTTCCAATTCAGAATTGTCAACAAAACTGTGTCAAGGTGGAACCAAATCCAACTGGGGAGAGTGCTGGTTGCAGAAGAGGATGAAGTTGCTCTGAACTGAATTATTAGACGCTCCTTCAAGGAACTGTTCATTCTTTCTTTCTGCCCTTTTCTATACCCTTAACCTTTCAGCACACTTGTTCTCAGGGTGACCTAAACTGCTTCAAACTACAATTTGTTTTCCAAGACCAGTTCCCTTTATACAAACTTCTAACATTGCTGCTTGTTATCTTTCATTGACCCTGATTCATAGCATATAGTTTGAGCTTATTGTGCAAGTCTTTTACATGATTATCTTATTTGTTTAGGCATGTGAGTCCCAGTTTTTAATGAAGAAGCTTCCAACCCTGCCTTTCTTACTGTAGCAGGAGCTCATTTTTCTATATCCTGGCATTTTTGTCTCCTACAGTGTGCTCTGTTATATACAAGTTGCGCAGGACAGCGACGACTTCGTATTCATAACCTCTCCTTGAACTGTTGCACGCAGCTTGCTGACCTCTATCGAAACTGCGAGACAGACACGCTCATCAATTACTTGGCTAAGTATGGTAAGGGTAAATACGGTAACAAGAATTCCAACCTTTAACTGCTGTTAAAAGAAGCCTAGCTGTCACCCAATGACAACTGTTTATTCTCTTTGCATCAAATGTCAGGTGGCAATCTTGATACTTCAGTCATTTATAGGAAAGAGCATAAAGTTGTGATGATAGTACTGTCGCTTAGGACTAGAAGTACAGATAGAGAGTGTGGACTTGTCCTTCATGCAAATTCTTGTCGAATTTTTTTTAATAGACGTTTGTATTGACAGCTGTCTGAATTCATCCTTGCATTTTTGAACTGGTTTATAGTTCGTTCTTCAACTGTTCCAGAATTTTGCTCTGGAAATAGGAAATCGTGCTTATAGATCTGGGTGAAATATCATACTTTTATGCATTGTACCCTATTTACCCTTTCTAGTTTGCAGTAAAAGCCTACAAATCCAGCAGAGATTGAGAGTTGTGTATGTTTATTGCCATTAAAATGTAAGAAATAGTCCATTTTCTGTCATTAAAGAAAGATGGCCAGGCTACAAAAGTTTTTGTAGTACACCATGCTTTCAAGTATGACTAAGTGTATTGTAAAGTAAATGGGAGATAGAGAGTTGAAGAATATGTAATAAAACAGAGTAAATGAGCTGCTTCAGGTCTTCAGTAGGAATGTATCATCTCTTTCCCACAAGTTTGAATGGGAGGAAAAAAAGGCTTTCATAAACAATAGTTGTTCAGGTTTACTTTGTGGAAGTAGTGCTGGGTTTTTTACTGTTCATGAGCAATCACTTTGATAGCCATCCATCTCTTTCTTCTTTCTGTGCAGCATATCGTGGTGTTCTGAGTAGTCCAGTAAAGACTGTACGAGATGCGCTGATCAACCAGTGTGCCCAGATCCTAGCTTGCTATCGAAAGAACTGTGCTAGTCCCTCTTCAGCTGGCCAGGTAAACTCCAATACTTTGCCTTGAACCAAAGGCTCAGGTATAAGAAGGTGATGAGAGCTTCTTCCTACTTAACCTGCTCAAAAAAGTCTTGCTTTACCTACCAGAAATTTGCAAAGACAAGACTTGAGAAAGTAGAGAGACTGCAAGTAAAACTATATTTGAGAATGGCTTTTTGGACATCTGTCTGGAGTCCAGGAAACACTCCCCACTCCAGGGAAAAGTGTTATGTTGCTTTTGCAAGTCCATGATACAATTAGACTATCAGTTTTCACTCCTCACAGCTGTACCACACTTTGTCAGTTCATGCAAGCCTTGTTTTGTCAAACACAAGCTTATTCAGCAAGTCAGATGACGAACTTGTGTCTGCTTGTGACTTCTAGCTGATCCTCCCTGAATGCATGAAGCTGCTTCCTGTGTACTTGAATTGTGTGTTGAAGAGTGACGTTCTTCAGCCTGGTCCGGAGGTCACAACAGATGACCGTGCCTACATTCGTCAGTTAGTCACATCCATGGATGTGGCAGAAACAAATGTTTTCTTTTATCCCAGGCTTTTGCCCCTGGTGAGTAATTCAGGATATTCTTAACACTTGAGACTTGCTGTTGTCTTGACTCATCATAAGGACCGGCATTTATATTTTAGCAAGGGAAAGTGATTGGAGAAGGATTTGGGATCTGCCATCTGCGGGGATACTTCACTTTATTCCACTCAGTGATAGATGCATTACTGTATCTTGTAAATTTGTGGGGGGATTTTCTCCCTGAGCTGTGAGCTTGTGACTTAGTGGCAAAGATGATACTTTTGACCCTTTCATAGTCTTCTAAAAGAAGTCCTAAAGCATCTTGTAACTTCACGTAGTAATTTTCATCATTGCAGGGCAACTCCATGTATTATTCTGACTTTTCAGTGCCATAGTTGCTGGAATAACACTTAACAATTAATTACATTCCTACTCCAGGAGGTAATATTGGAACTACAGAGTAATTTCACCCCAGTCTTGCGTTTTCTTTTGCTGACCAAGAGTGTCTGATCTGCTTCTGTGTCACGTTCAGTAAGAGAACTAAGCTAAGGAAGATGATACTTCAGTCACAGCTATTGCAGTCTTATGAGAAATGAGAACACCATTGGGATCTTAGTGGCAGAAATTTTCAGGACTTCATAAAATTTTCTTGTTTTACAACCTTGATTTTATTTTTTAAATTTAATTTAGTTTTATTTTTTATTTCATTCTAAACCAGACCAAAGCAGATGTTGACAGCGACTCCTTGCCAGCAGCAATCCGGAACTCAGAAGAACGTCTCTCCAAGGGTGACATATACCTGCTGGAGAACGGGCTGAACATCTTTGTGTGGGTGGGAGTCAATGTGCAGCAAGGCCTGATCCAGAACCTTTTTGGAGTGTCATCCTTCAGTCAGATTAGCAACACCTCGGTGAGCTGGATGGCAGTGTGGGAGCTAGCATCTGTGACAGTCGCCCAAAATTTAAAACAATGAGAAAGCAAGCTGAGAAAATAGTGTTAAATTTTTCGTACTAGGAACAGGATAAGCACATGTATGTGAAAGTAGTGGAAGTGTCCCACATGTGGGCATGTTGGGCATGCTTTTGCCTAGCTTTATTTGACAAGCCACATCTCCAGTGATGGTGAGGAGAACAGTTGATATGTAAATAGAATTAATAATTGACCTTTAATTCTGATATCATGTTATATTTTCTTTAACTAGCTGAGGTCAAAGAGATTGTATGTTAGTGGGGTAGATAGATCTTTACGCTTGCATAAAAAAACAGCTGAGTTTTGTTTAATGTTGCTTTATTTCACATGACTCATGGAGATTGGATATCTTTCATTCCAGAGTACCCTGCCTGTCTTGGAAAACCCCTTTTCAAAGAAAGTACGATCTATTGTTGGCATGCTTCAAGTGCAGAGATCCCGCTACATGAAGGTAAAAGTGTTGTCCCTCATTCATAGCTTTAAATCCCCTTCCCTTTTAGCAGAGCAGGTGATGCCTGGTAATGCCTTAATGCTGAACATATTCTTCCTGGTCTCATAAATGTGATTCAAACATATAGTTTTCAAGGATCTGAAAAAAATTCTGTTACTAGTTTTGGAGTGCTGTACTTACTGTAGTTCTAACATTGATTTTTTTCAGGCATGTTAAAACATACTATGTTAAAACTAGTTAAAACATACAACTAAAACATACTAGTTAGAACTACTAAAATCCATGTACATGGTATTTTTCTTCTATTTAGAAAGGATTGAGACTTAACCCAGCTTAGTTACAGAAGGCAAAGCACATAAGCCATATATGCTGTGATTCTGGTTATCTGTCTTTGGATTTTTTAGATATTTAGCTTTTTGCTCTTTTTTTTCCACGGACATTAATTTTGCTAACCACTCACTGTTGGTTTTGTTCTTGTTTTGGTTTTTTTGTAGTTAATAATTGTGAAGCAAGAAGATAAGCTGGAGATGCTGTTCAAACACTTTCTAGTGGAGGACAAGAGCCTGAGTGGGGGAGCTTCGTATGTGGACTTCCTGTGTCACATGCACAAGGAGATTCGGCAGCTACTGAGCTAGAGGAGGGAGTGGTGCTGGAACTCAGCAGTGACATTTCAGTCTCCACTAATGACCTGATCAGAAGGCCCAGGGCCCTCAAAAAGGACAACGTAGAAATCTGTACAATTCCATAATTTTTAATACACATTGCATAAGCAGAAATCCTTTCAACTTCTCCCGATCCTGTATGAGAGATGAAAAATTTTCCTGGTGAGGGCTAAACAAAAAAGAAAAAGGCCTTTGATACCAGGTCTTTTACTTGTATCTAAATTGTTTCCTGTGCTTGGCAGGAGTTCACCCCCCCACCCCATGCTCGCTAATCCTGTTGTAATGAATGTAGGTTTTTTTCAGTTCACTGTACATGATTCAACATTGGGTGAAAAAGCGATAACTCTTCAAAACTTCTGGTAGTTGCAGTGTGTTTGTATGGGTGTGTGTGTGTGTGTTCCAAGTGTGAAGAGGATGCGCAGACGGGAAGGACAAGAGGCAGGTCAGGTGATGGGAGCTGGAGCAGCCAAACATTTTTGTCTCCTCCTCTTAACAAAGAAACGTGATGTTGCAGAGAACAGATATATCATGTGGCTGTCTGAACCAGAAATCCATTAAAAAGGAAATGAGTGGTGAGCCAGGATGCAGCAGGGCAAATTTATTTACACAATCTTCCCTGTACTATAAGTTGCTGCGCAGATCTGTAATGGAGTAAGTAATAGTTCAGTGAGCAACAATCACCAGCTTCTGAACAGCATAGGTGTAGAGACAGTGCTCCCTGTTGCGTGTGTGGTGACTCCGTTCCTTCTGTAACACGCAGCTCTGTAATGTCCTACTCGATGCATGTTCCATGGCCTCTCCTGCAGAGCTTACCTGTCTATCCAGATGGTGGTGGGAACAAAAGCCTCTTAACCTTAAGCAGAAAATACTTTTAACAAGGTGATGTGGGGCTGTGTAGGAACTGGATGATAAGGAAGTGGCCATTTTCAACCATATTATGGTGATTATAGCAAACAAGCAGGAATTTGAGTTATACTGATGCAAATTCAAGACTGCTTTGTACACTCGCATCCAAGGAAGGGGATACAAAACCTAAAATTTGGAGTGTACTGTGGTAGGGATTGTTAAGTATCTGATTTCGGTTACTGAAAGCATCTGGGCTGTAGTGAAAAGTTTCATTACTGGATGTTTATACCCTCCCCCTATTCTACCTACTGATCAGCTTGCACAAAACCTTTTTATAAGCCTGTTTGTTAAACTAAAATACCTCAGACAGATTAATCCATCCACTTAGGCCACTCTGCTGGTCCACTCTGCAAGGGTGGATGAGAAGACTCCTGCAAAGAGGGGAGCGAGTATAAATCAAATTCAGAATTCTAAGGGCTTTGTTTATTCACTTTTGAAAGGGGGCTTGCATATTTTAGCGTGAATGCTTAACAAGTGTTCTTACAGTATCCAGGAGTTTAAGCTACCAATAGCATTAAAAGTGGAAGGAAGAATGTGGATGGATTAGAGGACATATTATCTGGGCTTGATTATTTTAGAGGAAAGTCCTTGTTAAGATCAGAAAAATATCTGGCTGTGGTTTTAGTTCAATATCCTGTAGCATGTATATAAATCCATTTTTCTTCTAATGCTGCTAGTTTGTCTTCCCTCCCATCACTACACAGAAAGGGAAGTAGGAAAATTGTAATGGAGAAACTCTTTCAAGATGTAGTTGACAGAACCTTCAGCGTTTTTGTATGAATGTGGCCAACTTTTTACTCCACATACTGCCTCCAACCAAAAAAATTAGAGGATTTTTAACCAGAGAGGAAGAACAACTTTCCAGGAATATAAGGTGCAGCAACCACAGACTTCCACAAATACTAATTTATAGTATTAATATTTGGGGGTGTGAGGGGTGGAAATGAAATCATAAATGAACCTTTCATTTTCTTCACTTGTTTTTCCAATGCATCTTTTAATTTGTAAAGAAATAAAAATATATTAAGATGTATTTTATGTCATTGTTAGTAAATAAACATTGCTTATTTTTCCAAACCCTTTATTTTGCGGGAGGGAGGAAAGGGAAAGGGCTGAAGTCCAGTTGATTGAAGAAGTTCAGCAACAGTCAACAGACAAGAGGTGCTGCTTAATCTCAGTGTTACCTTGCTTAGATAATTATTTTTTAACTTTCTCCCCCTTCTGAACTTTGATTTTACAAAGAGATTTGGTCTGCATTAGAGAGTATTACCCTTACCTTGTGACAATGTTAAAGACTTCTCCAGTCTTAATTATTCAGAGCTCCTATTTCAGACTTAAGATGGCAGGGAGGCTGGGTGGGGTTTTGTTTTGTTTAGGTTTTTTTTGTTTTGGTTTTTTTTTTTTTTGAGGGAGTGCTAATTGCAAAAATAAAGTTAAGAGTGAATTGGTAGTGTAACTTGACTGTAGCCTAGAACATTGATACTGTAGAATTTGCTGATCACCTTGCAACAATCTGTATGAAAACACAAGACAATCATTGCTTAGTTAGCTGGAAAATATTTTTGAGATTACTCTTCTACAGAATGTACATTATATCCAGAATCTGCTACTGAGCTGATACACTGCAATTATGATGGGCCTTGTGCATCTTGTACATTAATCATATGGAGTAAATTGTGCTTGCAGGATTTTTTGTGGCAGCACCCCTTTCCCTGTGCATGGAAATTGCCTTGCTGAGCCCATGTCTGTTAACGTTCTGTTGGGATGGAGTTAAGTGGAAGAGCTGCTGCGGATGGCATGGGGGTTTCTCCACTGACTGGGGTGTGTCTCTGCATCCTGCCCGAGCACTGTCGAGACCTGTCACAGGAAAGCAAAAACATTCCCATGTTGCTTATACATGCTCCTTAACCCGCTCCTTAGACAGATACAGCATACTTCTTTGCTTGTATCCATACTAACTAAAGCTCTGTATTATGAATTATCCATTATGAAGTATTGTGATTGGTGTTTAGTTATCCTTCAGGAGTGACGCTGGGTTTACAGCAGTTCCATACCTGAGTGGTAATTCCAGCCCACTTTCTGATTTTTATAGTGTAGTCCAAACTCAGCTTTTCAGATACCAGTTTCCCCTTTACATAGTATTTTAACACCAAAGGAGTTACTCTAGGTTAGTACACAAGAACAACGTTGAGGAACTTTAAACCTACCTGTAGATATTAAAAGTACCCACAAACGTTCTGTTACTAAAACGTGTTTTCTGTCCCCTCCTGTTGCAGTCCTCAGCAGGAGCTCACCGTGGTCTCGTTTCTTGCACCATCGAAAGGCCCGCTCCGGC